ATCGGACACTCCCAAGATCCAACAGTCATTGTGTCAGCAGCCAGATGACTCACACAAAACAGCAACACATACACGGCCATAGCTCCACACATGCCCTCGCCCGAACCTAGGAAGCCACTGATGCAAAGAGCGGAGGACAGCAAAAGGGTTATTTCAAGCCCAGCCGAAGCCAGGATATATGTGCGTGTGTGTATGTGTTTTTTTCTTTTTCTGTCTGGTGCGGTTGCAGGTAGTTCATGTTTGATACAGGGAGGGGCAGTAGCTTGGTGTTTTGTTCGACTTGGTGTTGGGTGGAGTTTTTTTTGTCTTGCGTGTGATATTCGGTAGTTTCGTCGCGCAGGGAGCGAAAAAGTGATTATTTCCACCCTCTCCCGGTTAGTCGTGAGTTTTTCTCTTTGTTGTTGGCTCGCCACGTGTTTTGTGCGGCAGGGCGGCGAAACCCCTCGTAGGCGACCCAGGGGCAACACCCCCCCCCAACTTCGTATTGTCGTCCTCCGTTGACGTCCGACGTCGAACTTGCAAACGTTTTTCGCACTCATGCACATTCATTCCTATGGTAGCTCGCGGTACGATGTGAGGATCAAGCATGCGTGCCATCTGGCACCGTAGTGTGTATGCCCTTCCAGTTTGTTTTTGTAGGAGTACACTTTTCTTCTTATTGCGGAGCCTAGATCCTATATTCAAGCGTCGGGTAGCTACATGCCTGCCGAAGCGACAATTTCGGCGCGTTCCGTGTAGTGGCTACACGACCTCCAATAAAACACCCCGAAACAAATGGCAGAAAGAGAGCAACGAGTCGCCGCCAGCTAAAACACACAACACGGACGTTGTACGCACGCTACAATTCTACAAGCTGCGTAATGTAGATGCCATTGCCGAAATGGAAAGGATGGCTCGGACAAATCACCGGAGCTAACCTCGGGTCGGTAGGCACGGCAAAATAATAATCGTTGTTGTAGCGGCGGCGGACCAACATCCCCACGGGAGCCTGAAGGGTTCAACCCCTGACGGCAACTAATACGATGATGTGCGAAGGAACGGAGACCTGAGCACGGAGGGCGGCAGACATAAGTGGATCTAGTTGGATCCGTCCACGGGGGGCCCGTTACCCCCTGGTCCACTATAATGTCTGTTTGGGATACGGCACGGAGCCCCCGGCTCCTGCTGCCGCCAACCTGGTATCTCTCGATACTGCCCTGAGCCAAAAAGAGAATAAGCCCTTGCGCCCTTGAACTGTGACACTGTGATCTGTGCCGATACTGACTCGTGCTAACGGAGCGGACAATGGATTGTGCTGCTCTGGAACTGTGCTGCTTGCCTAACTGAGCTAACCCTCGAACCGAAGCAGAGGAAAGGTGAGCTGGTCTG